TAGGAAACATTAATTAGATAAAATTATGAAGGGTTGCAATCCAAAATGGATGGAAGAAACTTACTATAAATAGGGTTATTAGGCAACCTCTTCACCACCACAACATTGCAGCATTACTAAAGCAGAGAACAAATCTCTCTCTCTCACTCTCCCACACACACACTCTCTCTCTTATTTTCTTGCTTTTTGGCTCCAATGGCGATCCCGGTTATTGATTTCTCTAAGCTCAATGGAGAACAGAGGGCTAAGACTTTAGCTCAGATTGCAAATGGGTGTGAAGAATGGGGATTCTTTCAGGTACTTATCATTCTAATGCATTTTATCATTTTTTTTTATGGAAATCAGTCCAAACACATATACTTTGAATTTATGACTGGAATGCTAGATGCACCTAATCAGTCACAAAACGCACTTGCATCATAAATCCGTTTTTTTAAGCCCAGCTCATGATATGCAGGTTTACGTAAAAGAGTGTAAAAAATTGTCTGTCATCATTTTATGCAACCCTTGACATTGTACAGATAGATCTGACACATTTCCTTTATTTGATTGTCACAGCTGGTGAACCATGGGATTTCCGAGGAACTCCTGCAGAGGGTTAAGAAGGTCTGCTCTGACTGCTATAAGATGGAGAGGGAAGAAGGATTCAAGAACTCGACACCGGTCAAGTCGTTGAATGAACTAGTTGAAAATAAGAGCGGCGACAAGCTGGAGAATGTGGACTGGGAGGACGTGTTCCTTCTCTCAGATGGTAATGTGTGGCCATCAAAGACCCCAGGATTCAAGTAAGCATCCATTAGTTTTAGTTCTAATCAATTCCATCTCTGCAATGTGAACTTTAGCAATTAAGCTCTTATAATCTCCCAGTTTCAAATGAATTCCCAAAAAAATTGTATTATGTCACAAGCCCGCCATGTGGCAGGTAGGTCTATTTCTCAAACAAATTCAATTCCCAGTGTTTTGAGAACATATTACTAGTTTACTACTCTGGACTCGTATAGTTTTAAAAAAACAACCTAATGTACGAAACCCTGCTACTCGATCGAGAATATTTTAGATTTCGAATCTACCTTACTAAGATCATTAAGTAACTTTACTATTATACCAAGACCTACCCTTATCATTCTCAAATTTTTCTCACTTGTCTATTCTAGCAAAATTTATACTCAATAGGAAACTTGCATTCTAATATGGATTACCAAACTACCTTTCAATACCAGATTGTATAGAATGTGAACTAGTAGAAATCTTTGACACATGAAATCTGACTTGTGAATTCGACGAATAATAGGGAAACCATGACAGAATACCGGACTGAGTTGAAGAAACTGGGAGAAAAGGTCATGGAAGCGATGGACGAAAACTTGGGCTTGCCATTAGGATACATCAAAAAAGCCTTCAATGGTGAAGGAGACGATGCCTTTTTCGGCACCAAGGTGAGCCACTACCCGCCCTGCCCACATCCCGAGAGGCTAAATGGTCTTCGAGCTCATACTGATGCCGGAGGTGTCATCTTACTCTTTCAAGATGACGAGGTGAGTGGCCTTCAAATCCTTAAAGATGGGCAGTGGATCGAAGTCCAACCTTTAAGCAACGCCATTGTCATAAACATTGGGGATCAGATTGAGGTGTTGAGCAATGGGCGATACAAGAGCGTTTGGCACCGAGTTCTGGCTACCCGAGACGGGAACAGGAGATCAATTGCTTCATTCTACAATCCATCAATGAATGCCACCATAGCTCCAGCACCAGAATTTGTGGAAACGGTGAAGAAAGAGGTGGATCAGACTTATCCCAAGTTTGTGTTTGGGGACTACATGTCTGTTTATGCTGAACAGAAGTTCCTACCCAAAGAACCAAGGTTCCAAGCTGCTGTGAGGGCCATGTAAAGAATAGATAAATGGAAGAAAATTCAAAATTTTCTTATTTTTTTTGGTTGGGTATGGGCCATGGGGTTATAGATAAAGCTTTGTCATTACAAATGTTCTAGTTGCAGCTGCAATCTCCAGCTGCATATATATGCAGAAAAAGAGTAGAAAGCTTATATTGGTGCTAGTGTGTGCTTGCTTTTGATTGTGGATAATATGAAATTGTTCATCTCATGGTGCAAAGTGACTATTCAAGCGAAGTATATAGAAAGAAACATTATTTTTGTATGGTATAGCTAGGTAGGATGTGGTGGGTGAGCTTTTGCAGCAGTAAAATCGTAGCATTATCACATGAAAGTCACGGGTTCGGTCTAAAGAGATAGTGCACGTGGGGTTAGGTTGATAGTAGTTGGAATTTTGTGTATTGAGTCATTTATATATTGGAACCTATTTTCTTATTTATCTTTTACTCAAATTTTGTAAGCAAATATATTACATTAATCTACTCACATACTAAAATACGAAATGATGAGTAGGTCCTTCATTAGTTTAGGCTCAAAATTGACCAAAAATGTATTTTGATCCAACAAAGTAAAGTTTAGCTATAAATATTTTTTTTTTTTAATTATGACTTTTGATTATGAAAATAATAAAGTGAACCTACACCTGTCATTTTTGATTGGTGGAAAAAGAGGAGATTGGTTGCATGTTTATGACACTGAGGATTGTTAAACTGGCTTTTTTATTTTTGGGAAAAATAAAATATATTCATCTTTGCAAAATTACATGTACATGTAAGAGAAACTATCTGTTTATCAAAAAAAAAAAAAATGGTCAAGCAACTGAACTACCATAAGTTCTGCCTTGTGACGAAACTTATGACAGTTCAAGGCATTTATGTTGGAACATTTAAGGACCAAGCATTAGACACAGAATTGTTCCAACGTTGGATAAAAGCAATAATTTGAGTGGATTGATTGTAGTTAATAATGAGAAGTTTACTTCTAATGACATGAAGGATGGACTTCAAAACAGTAGTTGCATCCCTGAATTCATTCTTGAAGACTCTGATATTTCTTTTTTTTCCAAATCGTACAGATAGAATTGGAAAGACTGAGGTTAAATGGGTTTTTTACCATATCTATTCCCCTCAAAAACTTATTTCCCAAAATCAGTTACTTTAAACTTATTTCTCAAACCCAATTTTTTTTTTTAGTCAGACTAGTCAACCAGGCTCTCTTCACATGCCAACAAGAAATATCAGGCCAAAGAGAGAAAACTTCATTTCAAAAGACATTTTTAAACTTGAGAAAAATTTTCAACTTTGGATATTTTCACTCACAAAATGTCATTTGTACTGATGACTTTAAAGATGTCATTTACATTGCTATTTTTAAACGGTTTTCTATCTGAGCTAAGACCTAGAAAACTTTGTTAACCTTGACAAACTTGAACAAACATTGAATTTACTAAGGCATAAAATGTCACTTGTAATGACGCCTTTAAAGTCTTCATTCTAAATGACAATTTATACGAGCGACTTTTTGAAATTGTAAAATTCCTAGGTCACAAATTATAAAAAATCTATCATCTCTTAGGGGTTGTTTGGTATATGGGTTTGGGAGGGGTTTGAATTGTGGGTTGGGGAATAAACCCCTTAAACCCATGTTTGGTAACCCATGTTTAGTCCAGGGTTTGAAAACCCAGCCCGTTGGATGACATGATCATGAAACCCATGAACTTGGGTTTCATGAAATCCATGGGGGTGGGTGGGTTTCTTAGGTGGATTATTCAAAAGACATTTATACCCTCATATATTCTCATATGGGTTTGAATTAAATTTGTTAAGGGACAAAATAATTATTTATATACAAATATATTATCATAATAGTCATATATTCCTGCGCATACTAAACATGGGTATGGACAATATTAAATATTGAATCCTATCTTTGAATCTCATATTTTGGTCAAATCTCGGTTTAAATAAGTCAATCCAAACTCCGCCTAAGAAACATACCAAATAGCCCTTAGATCACCCTCTTCATTCCTCTGACCACTCACCATCTTCTCTGATGACGAAGACCACTCTGGCAAAGCAGTTTAACTCTGACAACATAGCTTTTCTTTGGTGGTGCTCTCTCCAGAAGTTACAATTTTTAAGTCTCCCAACTGTAGATCACCGCAGGGCTTCCCAAATCCCATAAGCCTTAGCTTTTTCAACTCTCTCTCTTTGTCTTTAAGTGTAAACTAACACCGTGGGGTTATTATTTAAAATGGCTATTGAAAGATTTCATTTACAATGATGTTTTTAAAATCGGCTTTCCAAATGACGTTTTATGCGTAAATATATCCATATATCCAGACTTGAACAATTTTCCCAAGTTTAAAAATATTATTTAAAATGATGTTTTTAACCATGAAGGTGAAATTTGAAATAACGTTTTTACAAAGAGATTAAGTTTAAAAAATAAGTTTAAAAGTGATTAATTTTACGAAATAACTTTTTTGAGAGGAATGAGTATGGTAAAAAGCTCATTGTTAAACCATCCGCAAAATCAGACAATGGTTCAACAAGTTTTGGATGGCAAAATTCTTCAAAAATTGGCTATTATATGCCTAGCAAGAAAGAAACCAACTTAGTTTATTTTTCATAAAACAAAACAAAGGACTGGGTATTACAGATATACTGTAGGCTTTAAACTATATGAAAAAGAAAATTCTCCATCTTATTGAAGCAATACATGGCCGATTATTCTATAGAAGAGCACCCAGTTGGAGTTCCTTAGACATTAATAAAAAAAGGGCCACTCGACCCATGTGGCTTAGCTGCTATATTAAATATAAAAAAAGAGATAGATGATAATAATATACAAATTAAGTAAACTTTATCGAGAACGTTTAACAACACACTATTGCATTCAAAGATAGAAGCAAAATCATAATCAAAAGGAAGCACACTAACACCAACACAAGCTTTCTTCCCTATTCGGCTTTTGCAGCGGGAGATTGCCAAGCAATTAAGTATAACATTTGCAATGGCAAAGCTTTATCTACAGCCCCAAACCCCAACAAAAGGAAAAAAAAAAAAAACGTTGAACTTCTCCATAACAAATTCCATTGTTATGTTCTTTACATGGCCCTCACAGCAGCTTGGAACCTTGGTTCTTTAGGTAGGAACTTCTGCTCAGCATAAACAGACATGTAGTCCCCAAACACAAACTTGGGATAATTCTGATCCACCTCTTGGTTCACTTTTTCCATCAATTCTGGTGCAGGAGCCATAGTGGCCTTCATTGATGGATTATAGAATGAAGCAATCGATCTCCTATTCCCATCCGAGGTTGCCAAAACCCTGTGCCAAACGCTCTTGTATCGCCCGTTGCTCAACACCTCAATCTGATCCCCAATGTTGATGACAATGGCGTTGCTTAGAGGTTGGACATCGATCCATTGCCCGCCTTTGAGGATTTGAAGGCCACTCACCTCATCATCTTGGAAGAGTAAGATGACACCTCCAGCATCAGTGTGAGCTCGAAGACCATTTAGCCTCTCGGGATGTGGGCAGGGCGGGTAGTGGCTCACCTTAGTGCCGAAAAAGGCATCAGCTTCTTCAACATTGAAAGCTTTCTTGATGTATCCTATTGGCAAGCCCAAGTTTTCATCCATGGCTTAAATGACCTTCTTTCCCTGCTTCTTCAACTCAGCTCGGTATTCTGCCATACTTTCCCTATTATTCAATCAATTTACAAGTCAGATGATACATTAATCTAGGTTTTAATGCTATATTTTTCTTGAGCCACTACAAGAAAAAGGTTCTTTTACATCGACAATTTGCCGACTCAAAAAATCACATTGCCGTCGCAAATACCGGGGTGACAAACAATAGGCGATGCAAAAGGTTTTGCATCGTCAATTAACCGTCACAAAAGCTTTTGCATCAGCAAAATCCGATGCAAATGTGTTGTCGCAAAAAAATCTTAGATCTAACATTTTTTGCTTGCGTCAGCAATTTTCCGTCGCAAAAAAACCCATTTGCGATGGTTTAAATTCGTCGCAAAAAGTATTATTAGTCACAGGAGACCGTCGCAAAAAACCCCATTTGCAACGGTTAGAATCTGTCACAAAAGATACTATTAACTACAGTAGGTAACCGTTGCAGTAAACCCATTTACAACAGTTTAATCCGTCGCAAAAGATATTATTAGCTACAATATGGGACAGTCTCAACAAACCCGTTTACAATGGTTTTTAACCGTTGCAAAAGATATTATTTGTTACGGCAGAAGGTCGACGCCAAAAAAAAAATGATATTACTCTTTTGACGCTACTTGCGTCAGCAACTTGCTTTCATAAATAATTTTTTTTTAAAAACCTAATTCTCTCTTTCACATTTTGCTCTACACCTGTTTACATATTTAATACATTACCCATAACATCATTTGATTAAAATAATAAGACATATCTCTCAAAACAAAAACATCTAAATTTAAAATTAAAAATATGTTCAACATAAGTAAATAGCATCCGAAATTTTAAAAACAAAATATTCCAAACTATGTAATGAAAATGCCAATGCATAATAAAAAATTTAGTCTCTCAATGCACCATTTGCTTTGTAATCATGCACAATGTGTACTCTTTACCCATGCATCATCCATTCTCTACGCTATCTACTCATCTGATAGCACCTGCAAAAGATACGATTTGTGTTATTATTGTCAACAATATGTTTGGTTGCTAATTATATACATAGTAATTAAGATAAAACATACATCACTAGACGACCAAACAACACTTTTTCCCACTGTTTGCCCAACAATAATTACACCAGGAAAATATCTTATCAAATAAGTATTAGACACTATTGCTTCCTCAACATATACGTTCGAAAACTCAGGTCCCAATGGTACTCCCTCTACTTCTTTCGATGGGTCCACACTAAGAACGATCCTCTTCGCCACTACTTGCCTTGGTAAATGGGAATTAAGCAGGTCTATTTTTGTATGAATCTACAATCACAAATGTTAACAATTTTTAGAAGCCAAAACAAATACAATTGAAAAAAAAATTACAATTGTAAATCTATGTACCACACATTGTCATACACTATGTTTACCATACACATGCACTTACCTCAGTATTGTTCAGACCTAGTGCATGCTTTCTCTTTTCTGCCTTAACAACACGTCTACAAAAAAAAAACCAGGCAACACTACATTAGTTAGTATAAATAACAATGTCAAAACTACATTAATTAGTATTTTAGTTTTTAGTCGAATTTTTGACAAATCTCTTCAAAAGGTCGTGGGCATGGTGAGGGTGTTGGTAACTCATGTTGCACCTGTGTAGATGGTGTACGTCCATCTTCGTGTGGCTCTCTGAGTGGCCTATGAGTACTAGATGCATCTGGGACCTACAACATTTTTAGGACATATTAAACTACACATTTTAAAAATTGATAAGTTATTGAAACAATAATATCAAATGTTCATTGTACTCCCCCGGTCCAACCCCAGAGCATCCACCCTCCTCCTGGCAAGAACGTATCAAATCAAGTTGTTAACGCATATCATTAATCTCCTCGCGAAACTCTTCTCTTAACTCCTCTCGTAACTCTTGACACATCCTCTTTCTTTCCAAGTCTGCAGATACTTGAGATGAAGTGGAGGCTTGGCCGTATACATCACTCCACACGACTCCTGAATCATAAGTCCGCACATAGCCATGACCATCCTCTCCAACTACGTCATGGAATACCCTTTCCCTAATATCTGGAGTCTGCTCCATCTCTAGCACCTCAGAGAGTCGCTGTGTGAATTCCTCCTACCATGTTTCAACATGAGTATATCTAGTAAAGTTACAATATAATCGTACTAGAAATTTGTACATACCATATAACCTGCCGTCTCCTTGTCACATGGAGCGCCATTCTTTGTACGTGTTTTGATGAACACACTCATTTTGTCTATATTCTCTCCATTATTTTTCATCTGAATTCTCAGTAAAAAATACACATTTTAATTGTAAGTTGAAATAGAAAAAACAACATGTCAATAATTATTATTTTTCATAACAACTTACATCCATCCGAACATTAGCAAAGGGTGTTCGCCCTGTCCTATGTGTCGGGCCTTGCAATGCACGATTCTTAGAATTTCGCTTCGATATTACCTATAACATTAATAATATAAAAATAAATTTTACTGTTTTAATATATGTCAATAATAAAAACTAATATGTGCACATACCTTTGCTTCATTAGTACCCCAATATTGCACAAGTGTACGCCATTGCTCGGGTACCACCCGATCAGGAACTCTTGACAAACGCTCTTCGTCTATAGTAGCACTATCATAATACTGCGCCTTTAACTTAGCTTTCCAACCTTCCAAATCTTTTCACAAATCTTCAAGCAGACCTTTCTAAACTCTGGAGGTGCATTAGTGTTATCCTAGCATCACGATTCCACCCCAGGTGGAACAAAATACAATGTCAAGTAATTTGTTTATAAGAGAGAAATTCTAAATAAAATATATGATACCAATTTGCAATATGAAAGTCATTGCACGAAGCACATAACAGTTGATAATTTGGACAGTTACATACAACTAAAAAAATTCATTTAGCGATGAAAGCACAATTCATTATACCTGTACCTCTTTCCAAAGCCAATCTTTTGTATCTTTAGATATATATCTCCAAGAAAGATAGTTGAGTGGGAATCGATGGCCATTGAAGTTCACCAACGTGAATCTATATTCATCTTCTTTCTTTCCCAAATTGTTATCAACCCAATCACACTTAAATAAAACATATTTCATGTCATTAACATACCGAACTTCAACAATGTCTGTTAATACTCCATAGTAAGATACGGCCCCTACACGAGGGTTTTTTGTCTTTCCGACTGGCATAACTCACAATACTCGCCTTTAAAGTAACACCACTATTTTGTGTACTTCGGCGTTTATTCACACTCTTGACACGAAAACAAAATCCGTTGATAATATATGAATTAAATCTCCCTGCTGTGTGATGAGGACTTTCAACTAATGTATTGATTTCATCTACAAACTGGACGCTATCTGACCTTCGCAAAGTTTGAACCTATTTTTAATATATTAGCAAAGCATTAACAATAAAGTTATACATATGCACGTTAACAAATGTGGTGTATAATTTATCATATGTGATACATACATACTCGGTAAACCATGTGTGAAATGTTTCATTGTGTACACGACAGATGTTATGGTCCTCTGCATGTGGCATTTGGCGATAAAGGACTCTAAGGTGGTCCCTATATATATACAAAGTAGTACTAAAATCGCATATAAATTACAAATAACAGAATTCACCAAAAATGACATTTAACTTACTCCAGAAATGGTGAAACTGAGTCAGTATTGAATAACACATATCTATGTGCCTGTGCCCATGTCACGTCATCAAGGAGAAAAGGAATAACTTCCCCCAAAGTACGACCTAAGTTCTCACCACCATTATAGTTCCGTAACGGTCGATTAGACTTGCTTTCCACGTCATTGAGATACATAGCACAAAAATTCATGCACTCCTCCATCAAGTAACCTTTAGCTATTGAGCCTTCAGGATGAACTCGATTGCGCATATTGTTTTAGAGTAAGAAGATACCTATAAATATATAAGTGCATAAAAATATCCATCCATGCAAAATGAATAATGTATTTTGATAATATTCATATTACACCTTTTGCACAAATAAGAAACAAATACCTCTCAATGGGGTACATCCATCTAAACTGCACTGGTCTAGCTATCAATGCTTCCTCAGCTAGATGTA